TTAGGAAAGAAGTGGCCAGGAAGGGCAGTGGGCAGTGGACATATATGGCCATGGTAGAATGCAATCACACAGGCATAGTCTTTAAACACAAAAGGCCAATGAGAGCTGGGAAAGAGATTTACATATACTTTTAATTTATCAATTAAAAAAACAAACCAAAAAAAAAACTGGGGAATATATTGGAAACACCTATGATAAAATGTTAATATTCTTAATATATAAAAACCACTTGCAACTAATTAAGAAAAAGACACAGACACACATACACACCCCTTGGGCAAATTAAAACAGAAAGTAATTCAGTAAGAAATAAATACTAATAGGTAACAACTATGAAATATCACAAATACTATTTGAACCTTAAGAAAGTGTCAAAGATTTGCATGGTAATGCTTTGTGTTTGCAAGATTATAAGAAAATAGGCCCTCACACTTGCTTGATAGGAGAGTGAAACTGGTACAGACCTTCAGAAGAGCAATTGGGGAAATGCAGCAAAGCCTTAAATATGTCTAGAACCTCTGCATTCCACTTCTAGTATTTACCCCAAAGAAATAATTAAATATGTGGACAAAGATTTAGTCCTCACAGTGACAGTACAATTTAGGCACTGGATATAAATATTAAAAACGTGATATAACCTGAGTATTTATCAATGGGGGTTGAGTAAATTAATTACGGTGCATCCATATAATAAAATACTATGCAGACATTTTAAAAGGTTGTATAGAAGAATATTTACCGACATTTAAAAAATGCTCCTGGGGCCGGCCCCGTGGCTCACTTGGGAGAGTGCAGTGCTGGTAGCACCAAAGCCGCGGGTTCGGATCCTATATGGGGATGGCCGGTGCGCTCACTGGCTGAGCGTTGTGCAGACCACACCATGCCGAGGGCTGTGATCCCCTTACCAGTCAAAAAAAAAAAAATTGCTCCTGATTTATTTTTGAGCAAAAATGCAAATATTTAGGAAAAAATCTGAGATGGGATTACCCCTACAGAGGAAAGTGAGGGTTCTGCGGACTTCTGGTGGAGGAGTGGGCTGGAAAGGTTTTATTTCTTGAACTGTGTGATAATATATGGGTATTCCCTTCAAGATTTACTGATTAAAGCAGGGTTTCTCAACCTTGGCACTATTAATATTTTGGGCCAAATAAATCTTTGCTGTGGGTGTGGTGAGGTTGTCCTGTGCATTGTAGGATATTTAGCAGCATCCCTGGTTTCTACCCACAAGACGACAGCAGCACCACCTCCCCCACCCCCACCCCAGTGGCAACAACCCAGAATATCTCCAGACATTGCCAAATGTCCCCTGAGGAACAAAATTGACCATAGTTGATAACCACTACATTAAGTCATACTTTTCTATTTTATGTACTTCACTTGTGTGTTAAATTTTATGACTAAAGTTGCTTTTTTAAAAAAGGGAAAGAAGAATCTTAAAGGAAATATATCAAATTGTTAACAAACTGATTCAAAGTGGCAGGATTTGGGGCCATTTTTTACTTTTGCCTCATGTCTTTCTGTAATTCATCATTTTTTACAGTGATTATATATTATGTTTATAAAAAGAAAACAGAAAGCTGTTTTCAATGTTTTAAGTCACTTTTAATGTTTAAAAAGCCAGGTTTAGAGAGTCCAGCGCCCCTACAGCCCACCTTCCGTACACAGGTGAGTCAGGTGTATTTCCTGAGGACAGGACACTACCTGCAGGTGGTTCTATAAGATCCCCCAGGCTCCTGCCCAAAATCTAGAGACCCCCAAGAGAGAAAGGGGAGGCTGGAGAAACATGGGAAGGAAGAGAGGACCTGATGAGATGAGGGAGAGGGGGAAGGATCAGCAGTGTCTCCTGGGTTCCTGGCTGGTAAGCTAGTGAAACAGAGCAGAATTCTACCAAGTGGGGGACACAGCACACCCAGCCTTCAAGGAAACAAAACATTGGAGCTCCAAAGCAGCAGGGATCTGGTTTTGTTCTTGGATGCATCCCCGGCCCCTAGAACAGCACCAGTCACATAGCAGGTGCTCGATAAATAGTTGTTCAATGAACTAAATATATGAATAGAGGGATATAAATAATCACATTACAGGAAAATGGGCAGGGCAGAAGAAAGGTACAAATTAGTAAATGGTATAGGAAATGAAGCTGCTCATTCATACAAATGATCAGTCAAAAATATCTACCATGGCCCAGTGATTCATGGTATTTTTAGTTAACTAATTAATACAAGAACAAAGGAATGATCAGGATTCATTAATTGCCTCTACCCTAAGGTCCTTAGACAAAGAAGCCGAAAAACTGCCCTCAGAGTCCAGCCTCCCAGAGCTCATAGTCTATTTTGGGAGGCAGGTCCTGAAATTACATCCGAGGCTGGAATGTCCAGGGAACAACTGCAAGGAAAGTGGGGCCAGGCCCATACATTTTGGTCTGCATGGAGGAGCCAAGCACACAGCGCTGGCTGGCTTCTCTGCAAGCCAGCCACAGTCCCATCTGTTTCACAGGGGGTTGGGTTCAGTGCTCCTCAACCCTGACTATGCATCCAACACGCCTGAAAATTTGTCAGAAACACCTATGCCTGGGCCCCACCTGGAGAGATTTAGCTTAACTAGAAGAGGCATCAGGGATGTTGGCAAGAATGTTTTCTAAAGCTCCCCGTGCGATTCTGATGGGCCAGGTTTGAGAACCCCCAGCCTAGACACACTGTAGGTTCTAGGTCTGATTCTAATGACTTCCCTCCCTAGGCATCAACTTAGCCCCAAACTCCCTCGTGAATGCCCCTTGTGGAGGAGCACATTAATTTCACCTGTCAACACATCTCTGATGAGTTTTTTTTCAAGGTGTGGTTCCAAAGTGACCTGCATCAGGTCATTTAAATGTAATTCTTAGATCACTTTCCAGACCCGCCGGATCAGAACCTCTATGCATGTGACCCGGGAATCTGTTTTCAAGCACATTCTCCAAAGCATAAGGACCACGCCCCAGACTGAGTAAGGCTCCCAGGCACATCTGGGAGATGGCTCAAAGCAGAGCCAGAAAGGCACAAACACTACAGAGTACCCACCTGTGCTCAGCACTGGGACATCCCAATGAATAAATTGGACAGGTCTCTGCTCTCAAGGAGTCCCTGTGTCCTAAGTAAGGAGCTGAGTACTGAGCACAGGCTGGCTGGGATGAGTACACTAGCAGCCCTAACACGGTGCTTTCTCCTCCAGTGAGGAGACACTAATGATAGCCAGGGAAATCCTGGGTGCCTTCCTGGAGAAGGTGGCATTGCAGCTGGGCTTCGAAAGACAAATAGACTTTGAACAGTTGGAAATGTTATGCTCCATTTTATTTCCATTTTCCTATGGGCTCATCAGTACAAATAAATAGTAAGGCATTGTAAACAGTGGAGAATACAGAGATTTGGGGAGGACCGCAGCTGCATGTTCTCAGGGTACCCGGGCCAGGGCAACAGTCAAGAGGGGCTTCAATGGACTTGGTCACCTGGCTGGCTCAAGGGCAGTTCCCACTTCAAGTGCTGGTAGTTCCCTACCAGGACCATTGACCTGAACACATCGTTTACCTCCCCTGGGTTTCCATTTCCTTATTTGCCAAATGGGGATATTAGTAGTCACCAAGAACTGTTACAGAACCAGGGAAAGAACTATGAACAGACCGAAGAGAGTTTCAAAGCATGCAAGAGACCTAGGCTGATAGGGACCCCAGGGCTTAGCATCCCTAGGGAATTTCTTTCCCAGACAATGGTGGCCCCACAATTTCTATACCATAAAGGTTTAGGCAGCATCTGACGGACAGAGGAGAACTCAGCACCTTGTGTTGAAATTGCTCTTGCATGGTGAACACCCAGGCATGTCACCAATCAATGAAAATAGCAAAATTTTCTAAAATGTTTCAAATCACACTTTTCAAAAGAGAAATAAATGTAAATTGTCCCATAATAAAGAATAAAATCTACACATAGGTCTCACTTTGCCAAATTGTGTCTTTCATCTATCATTATTATTTTGGGGGTGCTTGGGGATTCAATGGAGATCTGGGTCAGAGCTAAAGAGCCCTCTTGGTGCCCCACTGTTTTTAAACCTCCTGAAAATACCAGCCACCCTCCCTTCTTCATTTGACTATCTCTTGTGATACATGATTTTTTTAATTCCACAAGGCCACAGATTATGGCCCCCGGCTAAGAGGAAACCTTCTCTCCTCTCCTTATTTATCTTTCTCTGCAGAACTTGGGTTCTGACTCACAGCTATTGTTCCTCCTCTTAATTTTGACAGATCCTTCCTCTTCCCTTTCCCCTCCGGAGACACCCCCTCCTGTGGGAATCTCTGCCTTGAAGTGGGGGCTAAGGTGCCTGATGAGAAGGGGTGCAGAAGGTCCTTCCTAGTGGGTCATTCCTTTGCTGCCCCAAAGAGAAAAACCTTCTTTGTCTACGCACCACATGAGGGGACTTAGGTTCCTTGAATTTTGGAAAACACCCTCGACACCCCTGAAAATCTCCTAGGTCAAGGCCGTATCCATCTATTCTGTTCCTTTTCTTCCTGACTGAGACATGGCACCTTCAATATGGCCAGCATTTGATAAAGATGGGTGAATGAATGAATGAATGAAATAAAGACGTTTTTCAAAGCACGTCGTCTACACGCCCAGCTGTTAAGTGGCCCTGAGTCCTCTCTACCTTCTGAACCCATCTTCCAACCCACCCTTATTCCCAGGACAGCGCTAAGAGCTCAGACTTTGCTTCCTCCGGGTATCGGTCTTAGAAAAGTGATAATGGCTGACCTACTGTGCAGTTTTCCAAACTGTCAAAGCCCTATGGCACTTATTGTGCCGTTTCGTCCTCATCACCCCCTCTGCGAAGTCAGGGCTAGGATTTCTGTCCCAGCTGACAGAGGAATAAATTGTGACCTGGCCTGGGGTTAGCGCCGGAGCTGGAGCCGCAGACCCGGCAGTGCGCGCGGAGTGTTGGGTGGCTCCCGCGCGTGGGCGCAGTGGCCACGGGGCTCTCACCTCGGAAAGTCAGGCTGGCGACAGGGTCGCTACGCCGCTCCTTCTTCACACTGGGGAGGTTGCTGGCTCGCAGCAGCAGGCAGCACAGCATGGCTGGGCAGCCCCGGGCCGGAGCGCCAAGTCCAGGCACCCACCGAGCAGGCGCCGGGCTCCCACGCAGCCGCGCCGAAAGAAAGCTGTCGCCTTCGCTGCGCCTCGGCGGAGAAGTGGCCAACTCCTGGGAGCGAGCGCACGGAGGACACCGGACACCCGCTGGGCGGACCCGCCCCTGTGGCCCCAGCCCAGATCCGCCCAGGCCGCGGCGGGCCGGGCGGGGCGGGGGTCACACGGGCGCCTGTGGGGGCGCTGGTCCCCAGCGCCTGCTGTACGGCC